TTTTTTACTAATTTTAACTACATAAGTAATACATAAATGCAAAAAAATACATAATACAAAAAATTTTAACATTACAAATAAGATTAAGGACCTGTTGACCAACATCTCCAATCTAATACCTTCTTTGGAGGTAACCACCGTTATCAGTATGAAGTGTATTTTTCCAGTTCTTTTTCTAGTTATATGCATATATTTACCATTAGAAAATATATTTTATGTTGCTGTTTTTTAAATATTTTAAATGAATATACATATTGTTCTGCAACTTACTTTAGTCACTTAAGAATATCTTGCTAACCTTTTCATATCAGTAAAGACATATATTGAGAGCTTTTTATGTACCAGTCACTCTTCTAAGCACTTGAATATCTGTTAATGGATTTAGTCCTCATAACAATGAAATTATTATTATGTTATACTATTATCATGCCCGTTTGGCGGTTGAGGGACAGAGAGGTTAGGTAAATTGCCCAATGTAGTGGCAGAGCCACTGTTCTGGATTCTATTCAAAGAAGACTAACTCCGTGTCTACTCTCATGGTAACTATTTTACACTGCCTCTCTGAGATGCATAAACCTACCCCTGAATGCAGTATAACCTAAAGCCCCATGGGCCCATCATTTATGAACTTACAGTGACTGTGAATGATATGCAGATACAGTTCAAGTCTAAAAATGCCACCGAGTGCTTCATTATGCTCAGCATTTCCATTGATAATAGCACAAGCCAGGCAGTGTGATGATATAGGGTATGACTGTTTTTGAGGAGAGCAATGCACATCAGAATGCGGAGCAGACCCCATTGTTATGCTGCTCCATTCCTCTACTTCCCTTTCGGCCTGTAGCTGGTCCGTGGGCAGCATTCTATTTACGTCAAAAATAACGTCAATCTAGTGAAAAAACTGAATGACTCACAGCATTACTGTAGGGAACTGGTCTCTGTAATACGACATATAACGTCCTAATTTCACAGAACATTTTTCATAACAGCTGCTAAAATCGTAATCGAATCCATTAAATTCTTTTAAAAAATCCTATTTGAAGCAATATTGAACCTACTTTTAAAATGCAGGTATGTTGAGGCAGAGTCTCACCCACTCAAAACTGCTCTTTCGTTAGCTACTTCTTATCTTTTCTATCTTTGTCTATATTTATTGATCCACTTGAGTCTGCTCTTCTTTTGTATTTCTAGCTGCATTTGAGTCAGAGATAGGCTATTTCAGAGACTGGAGGATCTGGAAGAAAGAATAGAGAAGAAAGGAGAGAGAAAAAGGAAATTTTCCTCTGATTCTGTTGACAACAAAACAAGATACACTGGAGAGAAGGCATAGAGGAAGACCCCAGGGTCTTGGGTTGATAAAAGCATGTTATGCTATTGGTTAAGATCTCTGTGGAGAATGAATGACAGTGAGGGAACGTGGCTACTTCAGCCCTGATGTTTAGTAGCACATAACTTAGAAATGTTGAGCCAGTTGGATTTCTCCTGCCACATCGCCATCCACAAAAGTGACAGCTAATTTTTTTATATAAGAATTTTATTCCTTAGATAAATATAAAGCCAAATAAAATCCCTCAGATTTCTTTTTCTTCCGATGCTATATACTTCTGGGAATTTGCAAAGTTAGCCCTTGACATGTATTTTTATTTGGAACATAAAGTAAGACCTTCAAAGAAGGCAGAAGATTACTTGTGAAGTTTACTTTCAGACTTGAGAGTGACCTTCTAGAAGGAGGATAGGCTTCTGAGGACTGAGGTCTGTCCAGTCTCTTCCACAGATCAGCTGTGTGATACAGTTATAGACAAGTTAGTAACCTTCTTTGAGCCTTGTCTATCCTATCGGGGAAAGAAGGCTGGGCTAGAAACCCTAAGGTTCTCTTGAATTTTAATGCTCTGATTCTTATATGACATGATAGAAAAAGATAGCTTCTAGTGGTCAAACAAATCACCCGTCTAGTTACCCAGCAGCATGAGTCCCTTATCTATTTTCCTTCTATTTCACACATCTCCTCTAATGCTCCTAAGGGGGATGTTACTTGTGGTGTCTTTAGTAGTTGCTTCTTCTCGACAGCATGCCTTCCAACTTCCTTCTGCTGTAAGAGCTGTTGAAGTGAAAGTTCTCAGTTCCATTCCATTTTTCTGGTTCTTTAAATTTTTTTTTCTCAGGATGGAGTATAAGTTACTGATTTGAAATCCATGAATCACTGCTATAAAGTAGCTCTGAGATTTTTGTTTTTAGGCCCTCAAAAATTGTTAGTTGGATGCGATATATTGTTGGCCACTTGAATGGTGGTGGATTTAAGACACTGCTTTTCAGGCCCTGGCTGACTTCGCGTTTAATAGATGTAGTGCCATGTGTGCACTCCAGCCGTTCACACCTAGTCAGTGCTAGCTGATAGTAAAGCAGATATACCAGATTGCCATTTTGGGGTTGTCTGACACCAGTACCAGGCAAATTACTGAATACGCTCTAAATCCTGCTAGTAAGTAGTTCTCATGTTCCTCACTTTATTTGTTCAGTACCTAGTGATGGAGTAGCTACTACAATCGTGGATGTTGGTTCTATGCTTCGTCCTCCAGAGCCAAGATTCTATCACAGAAGGAGCCATGTTTACAAAAGTAGAATGAGCTTCCTCCTTGGGTCTTTTTGTCACCAAGTAACCAAAGCTTTTATTAAACTAACCAAACAAGACATCATCTGAGAAATAATTTTTTCTATAGTTTCCAGTGTCTTCCTTTTTTTTTTCACTCAACACATAAGTGGAAGATTCATGATAATGTTTCATACATAGTCTGTTGAAGAAGTGGATTTCCTAGACTAGTCACATCATAAATGATTTTACAACTGAAAACACTGAACTCTAATGGCGTTAAAATCTTATCCTAGTAACTTGTTCGACCCTAAATTGGAGTGCACAGACTAGTAGCCTGGGAGTCAAAAAACTAGAATAATCATGGCAACTTATCAACTAGCTATGTAGATGAGGGCAAGTTACTCAGGTTCTCTGAGCTACAGGAGAGGAAAAAACATACTTGGCCGCTCTGTTTCTTGGGGCTGTTGTGAGGAACACATGAGATGGTGTATGTGACAGTGTTTTGGGTTATAGAACGTACACTCCAAACTCGAGATAGATAAGCTGTAAGATGGGCATGTAGACAGTATATCTAATTATATTATTGCTTTCATCTATGTGGTGTTTCCACTTTTTATATGTAAACAAGAGCTTATAAGGTTGGTTCTCTCCCAATTATCACAACCAATGAACTCTTAATGGGCGGCTGCAAATTTAGATTTTATTGGAAGGAGGAAATTGAAGTGATCAAAGAGATTATTTTTTCTCCATCGACATGTAAAAAATAAAGAGACTACTAATTGGAACATATTTAGCTGTCTTTTATATATACCTGCATAGTCTGACTTTTCTGAATATTCACTTTTCTTTCAAATACAGGAAATGAGAAGTCAAAACCTTCTGTAAATATTGTCATTCAATGGATTTTCTCCTAGGAAAAAATATGTTTAATTTTATTTGTTAGAACCAGATGCCAAGTGCTATGTTCCATAGGTAACAGAGTACAACCTGAGGTACTTCCATGTTATGGTTTTATAATATAATATACTTAGTGCACACCTTCATAATAATACTGTGAAAAGGAATTTCCTGAGGTAATGCTACTATAAGAAATTATTTTATTATATTCCTATAAGTACCTATTAATTTTCTGCAGCTCAATTATTTGTTTTATTTTTAATAATTTAAATCCAGAAGCACTTAATTATTAATTCTTTGAGCATTATGACTTCATTTAATGACGGTCACTCTGAAAAGGTAAAATAGGATTAATGATCAAACTATATTATTTCTAAGGAGTGACTATATATGCGAGTGTAAGGAGTAGTGTCATTCCAAATAAATTCAACCAGAGGACATTTTTCCTCAGCCAATGCCTAGGTATATTCATGGGTAACCTTTCCTCTTCCCCTTTAGAAGGGTAACTCCTGCATCCTGGCTTTGACTCTGGGCAGCAAGATTAAAGGTGGTGAGAGACAGACTAAAGAGGACCATATAGGACTCTCCCTTTAGCCTATACCACTTCATTTTCTTTGTGTTCCACTTTACTCCTTTTTTTTTTCTCTTTGAGTCTTCCTATTTAAAGATTGGAATATTTTCCTCTGGAAAATCACTGCAGTTTCTGCTGGGGAGAGAAGGTATCCAGAAAAAAGAAATGAGACAGACAGAGGCGCATACAAATAACTTGGAATACAAACATAGAAGTTAATAAAAAAAAAAAAGGAAAGGTTTATACTACCCCATCCCTAATACTAGTAAATTAAGTGCTTGTGGTTAACTGTTTCTTTGTTTAGATAGCCTGACCTTGTTTTATTTCCCCAGCTATCTTAAATTTAGTGTTGAGGCAAATTCTTCACTGGTCTTTCTAGAGAGTTCAAAGGAACAAACTAGATGGTTAGAAACTCTGTTTTGAATGGAAAAAAATATATTAAGACCAAAATGGTACAGTCCTTACAGCCTATTAGTAAGTTTTGCTATAGAAAATTTATGCTGATGACCACCTTCTGTTGCCTACCCTTGACCTGGCAATCTGACTTGTGTAGGTGTTTGTCCTTGGCTTCTAAGATCTTCCAACTTGTATACACCTTCCCCCTGTATCTTTGTTCATCAAACACTCCAGCATGCATACATATAAATAAACAAATACAAATCAGTGCTTTTTATAATTATGTTGTAGAAGGTTTTAGGCTGTTTGGATGTTAGGTTTTTGTTGTTGCCTTGGTTATCTTTAGCGTTGGTGTCCTCCCTTAGGCTTTGTACATTTCTCCTAAATCTCCCTGATTTGTTTGTTACTTCTGGGATATCCGACAGTCCGTCATGGCTGTCACCTATTTCATGCCTGGTGTTGCTGATAACCTTGAGATTTTGTTATCAGTGTCAGTCCTCTCCAAAAGTTTCTCTCACTGATTATTTTGCAATATTCTTTTCTTAGACTTGAATGAAGCAGTCCCAGAGACAGAGCGCCTGGATTCGAAAGCACTGAAAACCCGAGCCCAGCTCTCTGTGAAGAACAGACGCCAGAGGCCCTCCAGGACAAGACTCTATGATAGTGTCAGTTCAACAGATGGGGAGGACAGTCTAGAACGAAAGGTGAGCCATTTTCTGACTTACAGTGTTGGACTGTATCCTTGTTTCTACAGCTTATTGAAGGTAATGATTTCTCGGCACTAGATTCTTTGCCCTAGTTGGAAACAGGTGGAATAGTTTTCTTCTTTGTCTCCTGAATCCTTACTCAACTCAATATATTGTTATAATTCAAATTCTTTGTCTACTCATTCAGTGAACTAACCAAGAGCATTAGCCATATTGTCATATTTCGTGATGGTGCTTTTAATACTCAGCTGTTGGTTTTACCTAGTGGAAAATAATGAATGTACAAATAATGGTTTCCGTATGTCTTAGGTATCTGTGTTAGCTACAAGGGTAATATGGTGCATTGTGAACTCTGCAGTCTCATCTGCAAACCAACAAACAAAAATTGGTTTTCATGGTGATTCACTACAAAAGGTTGGTTTGATTTCAAAGTGAATATTACATGGAACTGATGCTCAGTGGCATAACTTCCTTTATAATCTCTTATACCAACAGCCTGCAAACAGTTTCCATAACCACATGCATATTACCAAATCACTTCTGCCCAAGGGTTTAAGAACTTCTTCTCCAGAATCAGATTCTGGTGCTCCATCCCTCACTTCAGTGGCTGGCAGTGTGCCCTTCTCATCTGACCACACGGCTGAATTTCAAGAAGGACCACTGCGCCCAGAAGGGGAGCCTTCCTCCTCAGTTTGGGGAGATGCTTCACTCTCCTCTCCTTCAAAATCTGATCATGATGTGAAAGAATCTCTTTGCCACCGTCAAGCCACCACCAAGAACGTGTTACAAGAAAAAGGTAATGTTAAATTTTTTGTTGTTTTACTTTTCCTTTGTCTAACTTCACTAACACTTCAATTTGTACAGTATAAAAATGGCTTTTTTCTCACAATCATAGGTCCTTTGTCTCCTCACAGCTAATAATTAATATTGCTTTCCTTTGGTGTTATGGGATGAGAAAACACCCCCTCCCATTTATTTTATTGTATTTTTTTTTCATCTTTTCCTACCTGGTTAGTATTTTTACTTCCTTAGCTCTCCACAAGTTTACTCTTGAAGGAGATTCTTCAGGAGACCTTCTAGAGAGTTTGCGAAATAGCAGCCCAGAGTTTCAGTACACTAATGTAGTCGTATAGAAAATATACACACACATATATATATGAAGATGAAAGTGATATAGATTTTAACGCATTAAATGGTTTTCATTTAGAAGATATTTTCACAGTAATGATTTATATAGCAAAGAATGTGATAGAAAGCTATGATAAAGATAATGCAGGGAGATTAGTCAATTAAATTTTAAAATAGGCTCCTAGAATTAACACCAGAATTTCATAGCAATGTCAATAGACTTGTCTTTGTAATTGTATATTTTAATTTATAAAAGTCATAAATTCTTGTTTAAACAAGTTAAATGATACAGAGAAGTATAAAGAATAGGTTCATTCTCTTCCTATCACATCTAACATGTTCCTTGAAAGTAACCAAGGAGATTTGGTTATATAATCTTTCACATATGAAATGACAAAAATACTTTTTGGTGTGTTAGTGTTTTGTTTTGTATACTTTTTTTACAAAAATGAATTCATACAAATCACACTACTCTGCAATTTTGTTTTACTATAATATTTTATGGACATCCCTCCAGGGCAATATACACAAATTTAAATGACAAGATAATCTCCTATAGGGAGCCTATAATATAACTAAAGCAACCATTATAGTATTGACTGTATCCTGGGGGGTTTAGTTGTCATTTATTTGCTTGTTTGCTTACTACCGTGAAAAAAGATATAACGAGCATCCTGGTGCTTTCCATTCTTGTATACTGACACTCTAGGACACATTTCCAAAAGTTGAGCTGGTAATCAGAGTATATTGTACTCAGAGAAAGATGTATAGCTTTAAATGCTTTTATTATTAAAAATAAATATTCAAAATAATAGGAAAAGAACAACCAAAAAACAGAAAATAGAATAAAAGATATAAGCTGTTTGATTTTTATTGAAATGAAAAGCCGATTAACTCCCCCTCACCAAAAAAATATAGTAAAAACGTGTAAATTATTCTAGGTAAAAGTAAATAGCGCCTTGGAAGGAAAGATTAAGAAAAAAATAGAGAAACAAAAAAAGCAAAAACACAGCATTAGAAATAAGAAAGGAGATATAGAGATTAAAGTGATTTTTTTTTTTAAGATAGTATGCAAACTCTAGGGCAGTATATTTGAAAATCTAGAAGAAATAGAGGATTTCCTACCAAAATATAAAGTACTTGAATTGGTCTAAGAAGAAGAAAACCTGGATAAACCAATAATTACAGCAATATGAAATACATTTTTATAGCTTCCATTTAGAAAGGCACCAAGCCCAGGTGGTTTTATAACTGAATTCTGCCTAACCTGTAAAAAAATAGATAGACTCTCTTTTATGCTAATTATTCCAGGTAGGGTGTTTCTCATTTATTTTATGTAGCTAGAGTCTTAAAAACTAGTAAAGATTATATGAAAGATGGAAATCTTATGCATGTAGATTTATTTTAAATCTGATGCTAGTAAATTGAATCCAGGAGTGCAAATTAGTTATATTCCATAATCAGGTAGTATTGATGCTGGAAATGTAAGAATGGTTCAACATTAGAAAATATAACAATATAAATCATCATATCAAAGAGGAAAGGTAAAGTGTTGTAATATTACCAGAAGTTGAAAGACGTTTATATAATTCTTCAGACATTTCCAGTAAAATCTTAAGTAAAAATGGGATTAGAAAAAAATTTTCTAAATATGATTGGTTATTTACCAGAGATCAGCCAGTAAGTAGTGAATCTTAAACCATTCGCATGGAAATTAGGAATAAGACATGAATGTCAACTATCATCACTATTTGCAAGTCTGTTTTTGAGAATTTTCTAATTGCAGAAAGATAAGAACATTAAATCATCAGTATAAATTTGAAACAGAAGAGACAAAAGTATCTTTATTTGAGGATTATATGAATGTCATCTAAAAGATTGTGACCAGACATAAAATAAATACATAAAAATAAATACCTTGAAGTGTGTAAGGGTGAAGTGTCTGCAACTTACTTCGAAATGTATTTAAAAATTAATAGATTAATGGATGAATAGAGGGATGGGTATATGATAAAGCAAATGTAGTAAAATGGAAATTGTAGGATCTAGGTGGTGGATATGTGTTTGTTCACTGTAAAATTCTTTTGTCTTTTTTAAAAAATTGAGTAACAGAAAGAAACGTCATTTTGGTCCATACTGATCTAGAGATTCAATACAACTGACATTTTGTGGAACTTGGTAAGCTGATTCTAAAAATTATAAGAAAGAGAAACAGGCCAAGAATACCTGAGACTCTTAAAAAAGAATGAGGTGAAGATCTTGGCTTACCTGATACCTGCAATTATTAAAAATATACCTGTATATTTTTTGTACAGAAGTATATAAATAGGCTAAGGAACAGAATAAAGAATGTAGAAGCAGATCACACACACACACACACACACACATATATATTTCGGATATATATATGAACTTATGACAGCTGCACGGGTAGCTCAATGGAGAAAGAATAGAGTTTTTAATAAATTGTCCTGAGAAAATTGGTTATCCATATTTTTTAAAAATTATGGTAGACGTCCCCCCATCTCATACCTTGCAAAAAAATCTGTTCAAGGTGGATTCAAGACTTAACTGGGAAATACAAAAGTATAAAACTTTTAAAAGACTATATAGAATATTTTTATGACTTTAGGGTAGAGAAGGATTTCTTAAACAAGATGCAAAAAACAAACCATAAAGAAAAGGTTGTTAACATCAAATGATATTAAAATTAGGAACTTCTTGGAGCCGGCCCGGTGATGTAGTGTTAAGTTCACGTTCTCCACTTTAGTGGTCGGGGTTCGTGGGTTCAGATCCTGGGCACGGACCTACAGACTGCTCATCAAGCCATGCTATAACAGCGTCCCACATACAAAATAGAGGAAGACTGGCACAGATGTTAGCTCAGGGCAAATCTTCCTCAAGTAAAAAGAGGAAGATTGGCAACAGGTGTTAGCTCAGGGCCAATCATCCTCACCAAAAAAAAAATTAAGAACTTCTATTTCTCAAAGACACAACAAAAAATATCACAAAATTGGAGAAGATATTTATTGCTCGTATAGCTAACAAAGGATTAGTATCTAGATTGTGTAAATAACTCTTATAAATCACTAAGAAAAGACAAATAATACACGAGGAAAATGTGTAATATCATGTACAGACTCTTCACAGAAAATGAAAACCAAAAGGCCAAAATATTTATGAAAAGGTGTTCAATGCCATTAGTAATCAGAAAAGTGTGACATAAACCAGATGAGATACCATTTTATACCTACCAGATTGCCAAAAAAAATTAAATTCTGATGTTAGCAAATGTTGGCAAATATGTGAAAGAGCCAGAAATTGAATAGCCTGCTGGTGGAAGTGTAAACTGGCACAAGCTCTTTGGAAACCATTCGGTGTTACCGAATTCATATAATGAATCTGTGCAGCAGAGAAAAATGAATAAACCACACTGAAACATAGCAGAGGTCAATCTCTGGAACAAGACATTGAGAGGATAAAGCAAACTGCAGAAGAATACATATGATTCTATTTATATAGTGTTAAAACTAGCAGATTATTTAGAGATACAAACAAAATATTGAGGTTATGAATGGGAATGACAAAGTCAGTCACTTGGGAGGTAGTTTCAAAGAACTGAAATGGGAAAAGACATACTAGGGACTTCGTAAGGATAAACTGCAGCTCTGGTGGGGATGATAAATGAAATGGGTTTTGTTTTGTTGTTTTTTCTTTATACTTAACAACTATTTTAGAAATACTCTTGGTTTCAGTAGTCAATAAACATAATAAAGGACCCCATATTCAAAGTTAATTGGTAGATTTTATCTCTAATATTCAAGTAGCTTCAAAGAATTTTTATGAAGTCAAACATAGGCTAAGGAAATAAAGCCTCAATTCACTGAAGAGAAGATTCACATTACTTGTAAGATATGAAGAAGTGATCAGCCTCACTAATGATCAGAGAAATGATCATTTAAATTAGATACCCTTCAGATTGCCAAAACTTTTAAAGAATTCCAACATTCATACATTGTGGGACACACTGATACATTGCAGGTATGATTGTACATCACTACATTTTTTAAAAGTCCATACTCATTTATCTCTGCCAGATCAAAAATTGTAATATTTCTACAAATACATTGTAAACGTAGGAACACATTTGATTGTGGGGGCCCAATCTGTTTTGTAACTCTTGGTAAACATCATAGCTTTTATTCCTGGTATTTTCCCCTTGGTTTCCTTTTCTGAGCCTGTCAATTGCTGGAATTATCTTCCACAGACTGGACCTAAGCGTAGCTCTTCTAGAAGTTTTGAGGTAAAAATTAAGTATGTAGGGAGTAAAAAATACCAGCAGAGGCAAAAGAAAATATGTCAAGCCTGCTAATTCATCAAAAGTGGTTGTCAAGTTGGTGAAGGACTTGTACGGTGATTTTGGCCTACTTTCAAAAGAATTAAAGGCTTCAGAAACTCTCATTAATTAACCTAAATTATGGATTATAATAGCAATTTTATAGAAATATACTTGTGGCGAGCTCTGTGTCTTCTCTTCAGAAAAATACGTATACATCCAAATTGGTCCCGAGGAAGGCAAAACAGCAGAAGCATGTATTTTGGAGCTGTAGGTTAATACTTTGTGGTGCACTGTTTGAGTTTATCAGACATAACTAGCTGTCTGAAAGA